ACTACCGAGAAGGCCCTCTCCCTCCTCCCCACCAATCGACAGGCTGCGAAGGAGGTGGGAGTGTAAGCAGGGCCTCTCCAGATGATCGAAGAGATCGTGTGGGTTCATACACAGAAATGCGGTCACACAGGTAGGCAGGTCCCAAACCGTTCAGGACTTTGTAGGTAAGAACCTGCACTTTGAATTGGGACCGGAAAATGAATGGTGACTGAATGAATGAAAATGAAAATGAATGAATACCCTGACATTGTGGGTAAAGTAGTGTTCGCAAGGCTGTTGTCCCCCTCCCCCGGTGGACCTAGTTTAAAGTGCACCTAATGGGGTTTGCGAGTCTGTGAGCAAAAAGGTGTTTTCCTACTTGTGTGAGATGCACCCCATCCCTTGCCAATAGGCCATCCTTCTGGAAAAGCAGGCCATGGTCGAGGAAGCCAAAGCGTTCCTCCTGACACCATTTTCTAAGCCAGTTATTGACCTGTACTATTTTTCTGGCTCTTGTAGGACCGTGTCTTACGACTGGGAGGAGGGATGAAAAGACCACCTGTACATTACATTGTTTTAGCTTTGTTCCGAGAGCTCGAAAATCATTTATGATCTTTTGAAAAGTATGCCTAGCAGTATCATTGGTTCCTACATGAATCAACATGAGGGGAGGATGGTGATAGGGCTTGAGGAGCCTGGTGAGCCTCTGAGTGATATGGTGTACTTTTGCCCCTGGTAGGCAGCATATTTCTCGAGCCATCCCATCCGGTCTGGAAATGACGGCTTCCGTTCCTCTAAGGAGGGAGTTGCCTACTACCAAGACCTGTTTACTTTCAGGATTGACAGGGTCCCTTTTGTGCAATGTAGTGTGTAGGTCCCCAGAAAAGTGATCTTGTTGATGTGAATTGTGTAGGGGTAAAGTCGAAAGAGTCGGAGACGACTGAACAAATGAACAACAAAATAATAATAATATAATACAATATAATATACAATTATAATAATATAATATAATATACAATAATATAATATTATAATATAATAATATAATATAACTGCGAAGAAGACCGTTCTAATGCCACCAAATGCCACCAATTTGAGAAGAAGCAGGGGAGCCGAGGGATGATTTATTGTTGCCACCAATTTGAGAGGAACCAGTGTTCAGGAGATTTTACCCCAGTTCCCAATCTTTAAAAGAACTAGCCGATTTGCAATGGAGGTTGCCGATTAGGAACCAAATTTACCATCAAGTTAGAAGGGAGGCTGTTCAATCGCACCTCTTCTTTTATTAAGATAGTAATAACTTAGTAGTAATTAAACGGTATGTATTGTAGCGTGACTGGAGATAAGAATGTAGATCTATTTGGTCACTTTCCCCTGCGTTTCTGCCGCCACGTGAGGTAAGTTATAATATTGTGAGAAATGGCACACTGGACGCAGAATTGATGGAGATGAGGCAGTCTTCAAACAAAAGTTAACAAATTTATTGAGCACAAAGCGTGTGGTTGCAAGTTGTAACTTTTCTTATAGAACTCAGAATAATGCTTGGTTAGTTGAATGTTACACTCTTTCAGGTTACACAGTATCTTCCTGAGGTGAAGCACTGGTTACTAAACAAAGTTTCAGTACAGGGATATCTCCCTTATCTGATCCTCCCTAGATCAGATACTTAATAAGATTATTCTTTAGCCTTTCCTTAGACTAAAAGAATACTGGTGGTTATGTTTCCCTTATCAGCCTCTCTAGCCTAAGAAACTTCCAGTAGCTTAAACTGGCTTTCCAAAGCCTCGAAACTTTGCTTCACAATTCACTCTCTTTCAGATACAACCTCCTAATCTTTCCTCTACCAACTCCTCACCCTCCAATCTTAACTCCTGACTGCTCACTCCTCTAAACCTAAACCCTAACTCCTCACTCCTCTGAACCTAAACCTTAACTCCTCACTCCTCTGAACCTAAACCCTAACTCCTCACTCCTCTAAACCTAAACCCTAACTGATTTTTAACTGTCGTTTTTCAAACTCTCCCCTCTAAGCTCCTCCCACTTCTCTCTCTCCTGCATCGGTCTCCATGGCAACGTACTCCTCTGACTTAGGCCGCTCCAGGATTACTGCAGCCAATCTAAACACAAATACAGTTAAAATCATACAATTTATAATCAACTCCTGTACAATAACAATATAATATAATATACAATAATAAAATATAATGTAATGTAATATAATAATAATAATAATAATAATAATAATAGTTTTAACCTCGGAGAAGGAGAGAGGAGGGGGGGGATTCTTTATTCCAGTTTTAAAATGCTTCTCAATAATAATAATAATAATAATAATAATAACAACAACAACAACAAACCCCCTTTTGACTTCATGCAGGGAATGCACAATTAAAGCACCCCTGATAGATGGCCATCAATTCTTAATAATCAAATAATAATAATAACCTCCTGGCCCAGGAAGTTTAGCTGGGTTATATTACAGAGAAGCTGGTTTTTTAAACCGTTTTAAACCAGAGTGGATGAATTTCCTCCCTTTGCCACCCCCCCCCCCCTTTTCTGGAGTAAAACAACTACTTTCAAGTAAAGACCACCCATTAACGAAGGATTCGGAAGTATCGTATGTATTGAAAAGTTGTGAACTTTTTTTCCATTGAAAATCAGATTTGACTTTAGATACGAACCACCAGCACCCCCTATATCCCAAACGAGTTTAAAAACATTTTTTTCATTGATCACCCAAGCCTAATGGTGCACCAGTTGCGCCCGTACCTTGGGAAGCCAGATCTGGCCACCGTGGTCCACGCTCTCGTTACATCCCGAATAGATTACTGCAACGCACTCTACGTGGGGCTGCCTTTGAAGACTGTTCGGAAACTTCAGTTAGTCCAGTGGGCGGCAGCCAGATTGCTCACTGGAGCGTCATACAGGGAGCATACCACCCCTCTGCTGTGTCAGCTCCACTGGCTGCCAATCCAGTTCCGAGCACAATCCAAAGTGCTGGTTTTGACCTACAAAATCCTATATGGCTCCGGTCCGGCGTACCTGTCCGAATGCATCTCCCTCTATATCCCACCTCGGAATCTGAGATCATCTGGGGAGGCCCTGCTCTCAACCCCACCTCTATCACGTGAAGCTGGTGTGGACGAGGAGCAGGGCCTTCTCGGTGGTGGCCCCTCACCTGTGGAACTCACTCCCTGGGGAAATTAGATCATCAACATCCCTCCTCTCCTTTAGAAGGAAATTAAAAACATGGTTATGGGACCAGGCCTTCAGGTAACCTGGCAGCTAAGGACAATGGACGACTAGAATTAACAGGACTGACAATGTGGAATTGAAACTATGGACTACGCTGAATGCTAAACTGGTTTATTGATGTGTTGTAGAACTGAGAACCGACCGTTTAATTGTTTTTAACTGTTTAATTACTGCTATACTGTTTTTATTGTTGTATTGTATTTTATTGTTGTATTGATGCCGGCATCGAATTGTGCCTTTGTAAGCCGCTCTGAGCCCCCCCCCCCCCCCCCCCCGGGGGTGAGAAGGGCGGGGTAGAAGTGTCTGAAATAAATAAATAATAAATAACCTTGACTCAAGTATAAGACGAGGGGGACTTTTTCAGCCTAAAAAAAGGGCTGAAAAATTAGGCTTATACTCGAGTATATACAGGAAGTGGATTTTTTTTCCCAGTCTGATGGCCATTCTTGTGTTTTCCATATTTATTTATTTATTTGGTTTACTTTTACCCCGCCCTTCTCACCCCGAAGGGGACTCAGGGCGGCTTACATATCCAAGGCACAATTCGATGCCCGTAACATACAATACAAACACAATAGCACAGAATAGCAAACAACAACAATACATCATATCTATACCCAATAAAACCAATAAAACCCATAAAAATTTCATATAAACCGATACAAACCAATTAGTCCTTATTGCCGGTCAATATTCGTTATCTCATAGTTCAGTTTCATTCCACATTTATCAGTCCTGCCGGTCCTATTTGTCTGGTTGTCCTTACTTAGTTGGCAGATTGCCCGAAGGCCTGGTCCCACAACCACGTCTTTACCTTCCTCCTGAAGGACAGGAGTGATGTCGATGCCCTGATATCCGCCGGGAGTGAGTTCCACAGGTGAGGGGCCACCACTGAGAAGGCCCTGCTCCTCGTCCCCACCAACCTCGCTTGGGAAAGCAGTGGGGTCGAGAGCAGGGCCTCCTTAGATGATCTTAAATTCCGTGGTGGGACGTAGAGGGAGATACGTTCAGACAGATATGCTGGACCGGAACCGTACAGGGTTTTGTAGGTCAAAACCAGCACCTTGAATTGGGCTCGGAACTGAACCGGCAGCCAGTGGAGCTGACACAGCAGGGGGGTGGTGTGCTCCCTGTATGTCGCTCCGGTGAGCAGCCTGGCTGCTGCTCGCTAGACCAGTTGAAGTTTCTGAACCGTCTTCAAGGGCAACCCCACGTAGAGTGCATTGCAGTAGTCTATTCGGGATGTGACAAGAGCATGGACCACTGTGGCCACATCAGACTTCCCGAGGTACGGGCGCAACTGGTGCACAAGTTTTAATTGCGCAAAAGCTCTCCCGGCCAATGAGTCCAGGATCACTCCCAAGCTGCGAACCTGCTGGCACATGGCCTGCATCACCTTGACAGCATCATTTTTCAAGATTTTTAACAGTTCGGCTGGGATCCCGTCGTCTCCGGCTGCCTTGTTGTTAGCAATGCTTCTTAAGGCCCATTCAACCTCACTAAAGGTCTAAATTTACTAAATATACTCTATTCATTCAAATATTGATTTGCTTTCCAAACATAGAGAAATGCACTGATGGCATTGGTTGAAAGTGGGACTGCATTCCACAGAAGGGCCACCAGGGGGCGCCCGGAGCTCTCTATTGCATCCTTAGGGCGCTCCCAGGGTTAAAAGCAGGGATTCCCCATTCCCAGAGAAGTCAAAAAGGAAGTGACGTTGAACGGGGGGGGGGAACACTATAGAGTATTCATGGAAGGGCGGGGGGGCTGGAGGAGCAACCATAGAGTTTGTGGACAAAGGGAGCCCTGACCAGAAGGACCCCCAACATCCCTCTGATGCAAGAAGGGGCTGGATGGTGATTTGGGAGCAGCAATTTTTTTTGGGGGGGGGATATGTTTTGCAAGGGGAGGGGAGCATGATGGAGGAGGGGGTCATGCATGCTCAAAGTGGGGGGGGGGACACCCACAATTTTGGGACAGAAGATGGGAAGAGGGAAGAGGGAGACCCCCCCCAAAAAAAACTGGGGGTGCAAGAGAACCCCCCCCCCCCAAAATAGAAGCTTAATATGGGGGTCTGCCCTTTGCACACACTCATTCCTAAAACATCCTTTCCCCTTTGGAATCATAATTGTTGGAATAGACCCCCCAGGGGTCATCTAGTCTGACCCCCAGCAGCCCAGGAAGCCCCAGCTTGTGCCCACTAGAGGGGCTTCATCCAAGAAGGTGTCATTCTATCCCAAAGGCTCTTTTAACATTTCCATGAAACCCCAGGGAGAGATCACGCGGAGTCATGGGAAGGATACTGTCAGTATGCAGATGATACCCAAGTATATGACTCCGTGCCTTCAGAAACATCCTCATGGTTGGAGGAGGAAAATCACATTGAAACTGGCTCGGAGCCATGGGTTCAAATGACAGGAAAGAAAATTTCACCTGGACTTTACTAGGAAGGACTTCCTTACTGTATGAAGAAGAGCTGTTCAGCAGTGGAACTCTCTGCCTCAGTGTCATAAAATCATAGAATTATAAAGTTGGAAGAGACCTTGTGGGCCATCCAGTCCAACCCCATTCAGGAAAATCGTGTTCAAAGCACCCCCAGCAGATGGCTACCCAGCCTCTGCTTCAAAGCTTCCAAAGAAGGAGCCTCCACCACACTCCGGGGCAGAGAGTTCCACTGCTGAACGGCCCTCACAGTCAGGAAGTTCTTTTTAATGTTCAAGTAGAATCTCTTTTCTTGTAGTTTGAAGCCATTGCTCCACGTCCTAGGTCTTCTTCCTTGGAGGCTTTTGAACAGATGCTGATGGCCATCTGTTGGGGATGCTTTGATTGTGCTTTTCCTGAATGGCAGAAGAGGGTTGGACTAGATGGACCCATGTGGTCTCTTCCAATTATATATATATATATATATATATATATATATATATATATATACACACACACACATACATACATACATATATGTGTGTGTGTGTGTGTGTGTGTGTGTGTGTGTGTGTGTATATATAATCTCATGCCAGGTGTGACTTTAGAAACTGCAAGTCGCTTCTGGCTGTCTGCAAGCACATTGCCCAGGGGACGTTGCCTGGATGTTTGATGTTTTTTTGCCATCCTTGTGGGAAGCTTCTCTCATGTCCCCACATGAGAAGTTGGAGCTGACAGATGGGAGCTCACTCCACTCTCCCCAGATTGGAACCACCGACCTGTCAGTCAGCAGACCTGCCGGCACAAGACTTTAACCCATTGTGCCATGGGGGGGGGGGGGGCTCCTTCCTCTTCCTATGAATCCAGGGGAAACAGAGGTGCTTGCCCTCAAGAGGCCGAACCCTGAAATGCCAGCTGCGCTCCTTCCTAGATTTGGAGGATTTAAAGCTGGCGGGGCAGTGAGCACAGGTAACCACAAGGTTGGACTTAGTTACTTTACTTACTTAGGCGATCCCTCGTAGTCCGAGGATGTGGTGTCCTGGCGGTGGGTCCGTAGGTGGCTGTGGAGCCCTATTCTTGACCTGCATCTTCTCCCGCAGTGAGGGCATCGGTTTCCAGGTTTCCAGACGGAAGGCGGTCCCGTTCGGGGTTGGCTTGACGCGCCTTCCTCTTGGCATGTTTCTCTCTTTCGCCCTCCATTTGTGTCTCTTCAAATTCTGCAGCACTGCTGGTCACAGCTGACCTCCAGTGAGAGCGCTCAAGGGCCAGGGCTTCCAGTTCTCAGTGTCTATGCCACCCTTTTTGAGGTTGGTTTTGTACATATACATCTTTCAATCTCTTTTCCTGTTCTCCAAAATTCCGTTTTCCGTTCTTGAGTTCGGAGTAGAGCAATTGCTTGGGAGACGGTGGTCAGGCATCCGGACAACATGGCTGGTCCAGCGGAGTTGATGGTGGAGGACCATGGCTTCAGTGCTGGTGGTCTTTGCTTCTTCCAGCATGCCTGTCTTCCCAAGAGATTTGCAGGATTTTCCGGATGGAATCGTTCCAGGAGTTGCATGTGACGTCTGTAGACTGTCCACGTCTTGCAGGTGTATAGCAGGGTTGGGAGGGGAATGGCTTTATAGACAAGCCCCTTGGTCTCCCTACGGATGTCCCGGTCCTCAAACACTCTCTGCTTCATTCGGGAAAATGCTGCACTTGCAGAGCTCAAGCGGTGTTGTATTTTGGTGTCGATATTGACTTTGGTAGAGACACATATATACATATATACAGATTTATTTGTCGTGTCAGAGCAACCAGTCCATTATATTACATTTCTAACAGAACAAAGCAAACAAACAGAAAAATACAAAACTTGTGAGTTTGGTAGTTGACTAAATGTCCTTTGACCAGTATCTGACCACTTGGAGTGCTTCCGGTGTTGCTGCAAAAAGGTCCTCCCTTGTGCATCATGTGGCAGGGCTCAGGTTGCATTGCAGCAGGTGGTCAGTGGTTTGCTCTTCTCCACACTCGCATGTCAAGGATTTCACTTTGTAGCCCCATTTCTGAAGGTATATATACAGATATACACATACAAAACACATATACACACACTGGGCCACAGCAATGCGTGGCAGGGGATGGCTAATAATCTATATAAATTAAAATGCAATGTTCATTTGTGGGATTGTTGTTGTTCATTCGTTCAGTCGTCTCCGACTCTTCGTGACCTCATGGACCAGCCCACGCCAGAGCTCCCTGTCGGCCGTCACCAGCCCCAGCTCCTTCAAGGTCAGTCCAGTCACTTCAAGGATGCCATCCATCCATCTTGCCCTTGGTTGGCCCCTCTTCCTTTTTCTTCCGCTTTCCCCAGCATAATTGTCTTCTCTAAGCTTTGCTGTCTCCTCATGATGTGGCCAAAGGACTTCCTCTTGGCCTCTAGTCTCCTTCCCTCCAATGAGCAGCCGGGCTTTCTTTCCTGGAGGATGGACTGGTTGGATCTTCTCGCAGTCCAAGGCACTCTCAGCACTTTCCTCCAGCACCACAGCTGAAAAGCCTCTCTCTTCCTCCGCTCAGCCTTCCCGAAGGTCCAGCTCTCACATCCGTAGGTGACTACAGGGAAGACCATGGCTTTGACTAGGCAATGGATCTTGGTTGCCAGTCTGATGTCTCTACTCCTGACTATTTTATCGAGACTGGACATTGCTCTCCTCCCAAGAAGGAAGCGTCTCCTGATTTCCTGGCCACAGTCTGCATCTGCAGTAGTCTTTGCGCCTAGAAATACAAAGTCTGTCACGGCCTCCACATTTTCTCCCTCTATTTTCCAGTTGTCAATCATTCTTGTTGCCATAATCTTGGTTTTTTTGACGTTTAGCTGCAACCCGGCTTTTGCGCTTTCTTCTTTCACCTTGATTAGAAGGCTCCTCAGCTCCTCCTCGCTTTCGGCCATCAGAGTGGTGTCATCTGCATATCTGAGGTTGTTCATGTTTCTTCCAGCAATTTTTACCCCAGCTTTGCATTCATCCAGCCCCGCACATCGCATGATGTGTTCTGCATACAAGTTAAAGAGGTTGGGTGAGAGTATGCAGCCTTGCCGGACGCCTTTCCCAATCTTGAACCAGTCTGTTGTTCCATGGGATTAGCATAACTTAAAAACCACTGGACGAATTGAGACCAAATTTGGCCACAAGACACTTATCAGGTCAATGACTGACCATCACTAACCGCCCCCCCCCCCAAAAAAAACAAAAAGTGGAAAGGACTTTTAAAAACCCCAAAAGACATTACAGCACATGTGCGAAAACGACTCCAGGGCCCCCAAAAGACATGTCTCCATTTCTACTTGAGTCAAGTGTGAATGTTGCAGTTGTCCACCTGGATTACCTTTGAATAGCCTAGCACCTTAAAAGCCTGGCTTCTACCAGCCAGCAAGAAACCTTTGTTGGGAGGAGTTCCCTAGCCCAGATTGTTTCATGTCTGGAAATCTTCTGTTTTCTGAGGGCTGCAGCAATGCGTGGCCAGGTACAGCTAGTAATAATAATAATAATAATAATAATAATAATAATAATAATGTCTTTTCATCATATCTCTCCTATTCAATGGCTACAGATGGATTTCTTTCCTGGTTTCTTCTAGGCATCTTGGGACGCACAGAACGGTCAACGTCATTGTGTTTCTGGGTGCAACGTCTGTCCCCATTTGCCTCCCAGCAAGGACGGGCACAATGGCGGAAGAAGAGGCTCCTGTTCAGGTGGGTCGCAGTGTTCCTTCCCTGGTCCTGTGCCACCTGAAACTGGGAATCCCAGCCATTTTGGGGAACTTGGGAGAAGGGATTTCATTCCATTTACTGCAGTGGTTTTCAACCTTCCCGATGCCGCAACCCCTTAGTACAGTTCCTCATGTTGTGGTGACCCCCAACCATGACATTATTTGCGTTGCTACTTCATAACTGTCATTTTGCTCCTGTTATGAATCGTAATGTAAATATCTGATATGCAGGATGTTTTTTTCATTCACTGGACCAAATTTTGCACAAAGTCCCAATACGCCCAAATTAGAATGCTGGTGGGGTTTGGGGGTGGGGGTTGAGTTTGTCATTCGGGAGCTGTAGTTGCTGGGATTTATAGTTCACCTACAATCAAAGAGCATTATGAACCCCCACCAACGATGGAATTGAACCTAACTTGGCACACAGAACTCCCATGACCAACAGAGAATACTGGAAGAGTTTGGTGGGCATTGACCTTGAGTTTGGGAGTTGTAGTTCACCTACATCCAGAGATCACTGTGGACTCAAACAATGATGGATCTGGACCAAACCTGTCACGGGATACTCAATATTCTCAAATGTGTACATTGGTGGAGTTTGGGGAAAATAGACCTTGATATTTGGGAGTTGTAGTTGCTGGGATTTATAGTTCACCTACAATCAAAAAGCATTCTGAACCCCACCAACGATGGAATTGAACCTAACTTGGCACACAGAACTCCCATGACCAACAGAGAATACTGGAAGAGTTTGGTGGGCATTGACCTTGAGTTTGGGAGTTGTAGTTCACCTACATCCAGAGAGCACTGTGGACTCAAACAATGATAGATCTGGACCAAACCTGGTACAGGATACTCAATCTGCTCAAATGTGTACATTGGTGGAGTTTGGGGGAAATAGACCTTGATATTTGGGAGTTGTAATTGCTGGGATTTATAGTTCACCTACAATCAAAAAGCATTCTGAACCCCACCAGGGATAGGATTGGGCCAAACTTCCCATACAGAAGTCCCACTTGGCTTATGCTCGAGTCAAGGTTATTTATTACTTTATTCTGTTGTTGTTGTTGTTGTTGTTGTTACATTTATTATTTTACTCTGTTATTATATTTATTATTTACTTTATTACTGTTGTTATTATTATATTTATTATTTTACTCTATTTATTGTTGATATTATTACATTTATTATTTTAATCTATTATTGCTGTTACTATTTCCATTTTACTCTATTATTATTATTACATTTATTATTTTACCCTCTATTATTATTGGAAGGATACATAAGCACATTTACATTGAAGAAAGTAAAAAATAATGGTTTAATCAGAGTTGGACAGTCTTATGTTAAGTTACAATTTTATGTAAATACTAGCCATCCCCTGCCATGCCTTGCTGTGGCCCACTCTGTTGGGAGTTCTGTGTGGGAGGTTTGGCCCAATTCTATCGTTGGTGGGGTTCAGAATGCTCTGTGATTGTAGGTGAACTATAAATCCCAGCAACTACAACTCCCAAATGTCAAGATTCTATTTTCCCCAAACTCCACCAGTGTTCACATTTGGGCATATTGAGTATTCGTGTAGAGTTTGGTCCAGATCCATCATTGTTTGAGTCCACAGTGATCTCTGGATGGAAGTGAACTACAACTCCAAAACCAAAGGACACTGCCCACCAAACCCTTCAGGTATTTTCTGTTAGTCATGGGAGAACTGTGTGCCAAGTTGGGTTCAATTCCATCACTGGTGGAGTTCAGAATGCTCTTTGATTGTAGGTGAACTATAAATCCCAGCAACTACAACTCCCAAATGTCAAGATTCTATTTTCCCCAAACTCCACAGTGTTCACATTTGGGCATATTGAGTATTCGTGTAGAGTTTGGTCCAGATCCATCATTGTTTGAGTCCACAGTGATATCTGGATGGAGGTGAACTACAACTCCAAAACCAAAGGACACTGCCCACCAAACCCTTCAGGTATTTTCTGTTAGTCATGGGAGAACTGTGTGCCAAGTTGGGTTCAATTCCATCATTGGTAGGGTTCAGAATACTCTTTGATTGTAGGTGAACTATAAATCCCAGCAACTACAACTCCCAAAATCAAAGATTTTTGAGTGAAGGACATACATTGGGTTGTTAGGTGTCTTGTGTCCAAATTTGATGTCAATTCATCCAGTGGTTTTTGAGTTCTGTGAGTATCACAAACGAACATTACATTTTTATTTATATAGATTGAAAAGCATGCCTCAGTTAATGTAATTTTATTGGTATCTATTTTTATTTTGAAATTTACCAGTAGCTGCTGCATTTCCCACCCTCGGCTTAGACTTGAGTCAATACATTTTCCCAGTTTTTTGTGGTAAAATTAGGTGCCTCGGCTCATATTCGGGTCGGCTTATACTCGAGTATATACGGTATGTATAATCTGATTTGACATAAGTGAACGGAAAGAGACTGTTTCCTCCCCAAAAGAGCTCTGTGCCTGAGCAAAGACTCCGGAGACGGCTTCTCCAGGAAAGGCATGTGTGAGCTTTTTGACTCACCTGGATAATCCAGGACTACCTGTTCGGCAGGTAACTCGCCGGAGTCAGCCTGGATTGCCAATTTCCTGCAGGAGTCCCATTTTGACTTGGTGTTGGCAAGGCCTGGAGAAGTCTAGCACTTTTCCCTACTTGTTGAGCCTGAGGTTTTCGGTCCTCGCATAGAGTCCCAGTTTCTTTCTGGGATGCCGCCTTCGGAAGGAGCTGCAAAACAAAGCAAACACCTGGGGATGTTTTCAGCCTGAGTCTCTCTGTGGGACAGGTGTGCAAGGCTCAGAGAAGAAGAGGGACTTCTTCCTGTTGGCCAGGTGGGAGAGGAACCAAGATAAGAGGTGAGTCCCAGAGCAGGTAATACAGGTCGGACTCGGCTGTGGAGTTAAAGCTTCCAGGTATATATATTCCCATTGGTTCTTTGCAGGTGTGTTCCCTTAAAGCAGGCATGGGCCAACTTTGGTCCTCCTCCTCCAGGTGTTTTGGACTTCAACTCCCACAATTCCTAACAGCCGGTAGGCTGTTAGGAATTGTGGGAGTTGAAGTCCAAAACACCTAGAGGAGAACCAAAGTTGGCCTATGCCTGCCTTAAAGCTTTCTATGAGGGTTGAATGAAAAGTAATGCCTCCACCTTCATAACTCCTCAATAGATGACAGTATTGGTATGCGGCAGGTACTGGCTTGTTCGGAAGACTCTCCTCTACAGTTCCATTTTGGAAGGAAGCCTTAGCATTAAATGGTTGTGTTGTTAAATTGCGAAGTATGGAACCCTGCACAGACGGTCGGTCAATCTGACTTAAGCAACGTGCAGTCATTGAATTCTTGGCAGCAGAACTGTCTGGCGATTATGTGGAAAATTGAATAATGGTAGTTAAATTAAGTACATTCTAAGGATTATATCTGCGTTTGATTTATTAAAATATTCCCATCCAAACCCAAGTAACGAAGGTAGAGGCATTACTTTTCACTCAACCCTCGCACTCAACAACTTGTCCATCCCTACCTGGTTCTGAGTGCTATCGCCCCCATTTTTCTGCAGGAGATGCTGACCTTTGAGGACGTGGCCATCTCCTTCTCCCCACAAGAGTGGGAGATGCTGAATGACGGGCAAAGGGAGCTCCATTGGGAGGTGATGATGGAGAACTACAAGATGCTCGTCTCGCTGGGTAAATAGGAACTGCTTCCCTGACCCTGATTAAAGTCTTTGTGTCTCTGCGTGTAAGAAGTAAAGCTTTTGCTTTAGGTATTGTGTGTCTTCAGGAGGAAGAAATAAAGCTTTTGCTTTAGGAATTGTGTGCCCTCAGGAGGAAGAAGTAAAGCTTATGCTTTAGGAATTGTGTGTCCTCAGGAGGAGGAAGTAAAGCTGTTGCTTTAGGAATTGTGTGCCCTGAGGAGGAGGAAGTAAAGCTTTTGCTTTAGGAATTGTGTGTCCTCAGGAGGAAGAAGTAAAGCTTATGCTTTAGGAATTGTGTGTTCACAGGGGGAAGAAGTAAAGCTTTTGCTTTAGGAATTGTGTGCCCTCAGGAGGAAGAAGTAAAGCTTTTGCTTTAGGAATTGTGTGTCCTCAGGGGAAAGAAGTAAAGCTTATAGTTTATGAATTTTGTGTCCTCAGGGGGAAGAAGTAAAGCTTATGCTTTAGGAATTGTGTGCCCTCAGGAGGAGGAAGTAAAGCTTTTGCTTTAGGAATTGTGTGTCCTCAGGAGGAAGAAGTAAAGCTTATGCTTTAAGAATTGTGTGTTCACAGGGGGAAGAAGTAAAGCTTTTGCTTTAGGAATTGTGTGCCCTCAGGAGGAAGAAGTAAAGTTTTTGCTTTAGGAATTGTGTGTCCTCAGGGGAAAGAAGTAAAGCTTATGGTTTATGAATTGTGTGTCCTCAGGGGGAAGAAGTAAAGCTTATGCTTTAGGAATTGTGTGCCCTCAGGAGGAAGAAGTAAAGCTTTTGCTTTAGGAATTGTGGGTCCTCAGGAGGAAGAAGTAAAGCTTATGCTTTAGGAATTGTGTGTTCACAGGGGGAAGAAGTAAAGCTTTTGCTTTAGGAATTGTGTGCCCTCAGGAGGAAGAAGTAAAGCTTATGCTTTAGGAATTGTGTGTCCTCAGGGGAAAGAAGTAAAGCTTATGGTTTATGAATTGTGTGTCCTCAGGGGGAAGAAGTAAAGCTTTTGCTTTAGAAATTGTGTGTCCTCAGCGGGAAGAAGTAAAGCTGTGGCTACTGTTTTACTCAGCTCTGTGGGTCTCTCTCCCCCAGCACAAACCAGCAACAGTCCGTGGGTCTCTCTCACCTCCCACAGACACCAGTAAAGCTGCTGCTCCCCAGCACTGACCAGCAACAGTCTGTGGGTTTCTCCTGCCCCACCCAAACCCCAGGGAATAGACAGGGGGAACGCTTCAGCAAGCAGTCTACTCCTGAATCCAGAGAGATCATCTCATAAAGGCAGATTGTTGTACCATACTTCATAAATAAGACAACCTCTGAAAATAAGCCATTGTGTCTTTTTGAGGAAAAATAAATATAAGGTAGTGTCTTATTTTCGGGGAAACACAGTAGTTAGACAGCTGCTTAATTTTAGCAACATATAGTGTAAACATTGTGGGGGTTTGTATTATATCTGGGTTTTTTTTTTTACTATGTTTTCTTTATTTCTGAATACAAATTACAGGGGGGGAAATCAGCCCAAAATAGGCTAGAACCATTCAAAGCCTCAGGAGTGTGTAGATTTGTCTCCTGTCATCCTGGGTTTGCCGCTTTGAGTCTCTTTTGGGAGAGGAAAAACTAGTTAACATTAATAATGATGACGATAATAGGTTGGGGAGGAGGTAGGCAACACATAACCAATCCTCACTCATCCTGACTTCTTTGCTTTCTGCATCTTTTTGCATCCCAGGGAATGACCTCTACTTGCTTTCCTCCAATGGAATGTTCTGGAACACTTCGGAAGATGAAAGTGCCCTTGCTGACCGTCGCGCGAGTCCGGTGGATGGGTTGCCTGAGACTTCATCCCACCTGGGCCGCAAACACCAAATGGACCCTGAGGAGGAGGAGGACGATGAGGAGTTTGTGCCCGAGGAGCAGCCCCCTGCCCTGGAGGCACCGTCCATCCCAATGGGGGGCCCCTACCCCTGTCCGCTTTGTGAGCAGTTCTTTCGAGGGAAGAAGGAACTGGATCGGCACCAGCGGAGCATTCACTTGGGCGACAAACCCCATGCGTGTGCCGAATGTGGAAAGGCGTTCCGGGACAAGAGTGACCTTCGGGTCCATGAGCGACTCCACACGGGAGAGAAGCCCTTCGTCTGCGACGTGTGTGGGAAGTCCTTCCGGGAGAAGAGCAAGCTCATCGTCCACCAGAGGATCCACACTGGGGAGAAGCGCTGCATCTGTCAGGAATGCGGGAAAAGCTTCAGGGACAAGCATTACCTCAGGGACCACCAGCGGATCCACGCGGGAGAGCGGCCCTACCATTGCGAGGAGTGTGGCCGGAGCTTCCGGACTCGGAGCCATTTTACTCTTCACCAGAGGATCCATACCGGGGTGAAACCCTACATTTGCAATGACTGCGGAAAGACCTTTGTGCAGAAAAGCAACCTCATGAGTCATCAGAGAATTCACACGGGAGAAAAACCCTTCCCTTGCGAGGAATGCGGGAAGACCTTCCGGGACAGGAAGACTCTGAGGTATCACCGGAGGATCCATCTGGGTGAGAAGCCCTATCCGTGTCAGGACTGCGGGAAGACCTTCCGGGACAAGAGCAGCCTGACCGTCCACCAGAACATCCACTCCGGGGAGAAGCCCTTCATCTGCTGGGAGTGCGGGAGGAGCTTCCGGGAGAAGATGTACCTGAAGGACCACCAGAGGATCCACACTGGAGAGAAGCCCTTCCCCTGCCAGGAGTGTGGCAAGACCTTCCGGGCTAAGCGGACCCTCAAGTACCACGAGCGCATCCACACCGGGGAGAAGCCCTTCGCCTGCCTGGACTGCGGGAAGAGCTTCCGGGGTAAGAGCAGCCTGACCGTCCACCAGAGGATCCACACCGGGGAGAAGCCCTTCATGTGCTGGACCTGTGGGAGGAGCTTCCGGGAGAAGGTCTACCTCCGGGAACACCACAAGACCCACCTGGAGGAGAAGCCCTACCCCTGTGGCGACTGCGAGAAGAGCTTTGTCCACAAGAACCACCTCATGCGCCACCAGAAGTTCCACGGGCCTCTCCCCCTGCAGTGATGACAGGGAAGCTCCCAGTTTGGTGGAGTCTCCTTCTCTGGAGGCTTTTAAGCTTAGGCTGGATGGCCATCTTTCAGGAGGGCTTGGATAGTGTGTTCCTGAGTGTCAGGGTGTTGGACTGGAGGGCCCTTCCAACTCTAGTGGAATATTGACTTCCCAGTGAAGTCCAGTGGGGTCTCCCTTGGAGATCTTTGAGACCATCAGGAGGGCTTACATGGAACCTTGCTGCCTGATAGAAGGGGGTCAGATTGATGGACTTGGGGGTCTCTTCCAACCCTGTGGTTCTAGAACAACAATGTTTGAGAATCCAAAATTCTCAGTTTTGTTTTCAGCCTCAGATCTGGATGGCATTTGCAGGCAAATAGAACTTGTCTCCTTGGATGTTATGGATTGAGCAGCTTCAGGAAGTCTTCCAACAAAGATGTGGTCAGTGAGGTTCATGGACTTTCCACCCGCTCTTCCAACTTAAAGGTTTCCTCAGATCTGGGCTTGGTGCTGGAGCAAACAGATATTGCAAAAGCGATCATGCAGCTTTGGAGAATCCATGGAAGACAATGTGGTCTGGAGTGTACAGAGTGTACAGAGTCTACAGCAAAGGGCTCAGATCTAGACTCCTTGCTGAATTTGCACCTGCTGCAATGATAATGGGAACAGCAATAAGAACAGTTTCAGGGAATCCACATGGGAAGATGTGATCCGGTGGATCCTCTGTTGTGTTTTCAACCTGAGAGAATCCGTACGGAGAGAAGTGGCCCGGAGGCTTATCTGGACAGTGTTTGATCTGTTCCTACAGTGCAGAAAATGTGCTCAGATTTGAGTCTCAAATAACGGTGCTCCATAAGTTAACGCTTGTGGCTTTTTGGGCTCTTCTCTCTTGTTCTGGCCACAAAACAATAATGTTCTGCCTTTTTTGAAAAAGAGTTTTATTTATAGTTTTGGTGCTGTGTGTGTGTGTGTGTTTGGGTGGAGAAGGGGAGCCAAGGACTGTTATGTCTTGGTCTCTATGTTGGCTTTTTTCTCTGTACATGGCCTTGGTGTGTTTTCAATGGACTGAAAAGGTAGATCTAGATTTGAAGAAGGGGAAAAACTGTGTGTCCAGATGTATTATTAAAGTCTGTACACTCCACTGTGTGAGGTGTTCTGATTGATCATGTTATTTGTCTGATTTTCCTCTCATTTGTCAGATTGATCTTCTAATATTTCCAAGTGCGTGGAGGAGTCCAAGACTCAAGTGCATTGTGGTGCAAAAAAAGGGAACTTTTCTATGCTCAGGAGGCTGTGTTTCTCTTTGAGCAGTATAATAGATGGAGGCTTAATTTTGAGATAAAAATCCCAAAAAGCAGAACACCACTTAGAAATGAATGTGGCCTCTCTTAATTAAAAGCCAAAACACAAAAAGCTGTAAGGAAAGCTGGAACTTTCTTCTGGCTGAAAACCTTCTGAAAGAACCCTCTGGCCACCACCAACTTAAAAGCACTGATAAACCCTTGCCTTACTGGAAGTCTCTTAGGCAAAAGTGTGTTGGAATTAGCACTCAGGCTTGTGTTCTGAGGTAACACTAAATGTTTGTTCTTTAAACTATACACTGCCACCATTAGTCTCCTGTTTGCTGCAGGAAACTGCTTTTAAAACTTTACCCACAGAGGCACACGTGAGGCAGATGTTGTGAACAACAAAACAATGATGTTTATTTAAGAGAACTGGAACAATTCAGGTATAAAGCTTAGTTGTTTCAGAGTGGTTACTTTAAGCAGTTCAGATTTAGTTACACAGGAACACTTTTCTCTCCCTCCACAGAATTTACTGACAGGATTTATTCTCTGAAAGTAATTTCTAAACACCTCCCTGGATCTATCTCTAGACTCCTCCACCAGCTATTTCCCTAATAGCTGTAGAAACCTTTTCACTAGCTATCTCTGCTAGCCAACAGACCAATTTCAGGCCTCTCCCACTAACCCTTCACCACTCCTAACTCCCAGCTCCTTCTCCTTTGACTCCCTCAGTCAATCTCCTTTGACACCCAGATTCAATCTGCCTCACAGAATTTTAAAACCTCCCTTAAAGTCATTTTTTTTCTTTTTCCAAGTTAGACTCCTCCCACTCTAACTCAGCCAATTACATTTCCCTCCCAAGCTGCTCTTTCTATGGCTATGGAATGTCCTCCCTAGGGACCTTAGATCAGCCCCCACCCTCTTAACATTTCGCAAAAAAGTAAAAACCTGGCTTTTTGAGCGAGCTTTCCCAAATGCAGTGTAGCAGACAAACTCTGATCTTCAGAACAACTGGACAATGCGATTGGATAATGATTTTAGTAACGAGACACGGAGGATTTGTATTTTTACTGTTTTATTAATTATTGAATTTTACTTATGTTAAATGTTTTAATTGTTTTTATGTTTTCGTGGGCATTGAATTGTGCTGTTGTAAACCTCCCTGAGTCACCCCTGGGCTGAGAACGGCGGTATATAAATATAGTAAATAAATAAATAAATATCAGAACTTTTAAACAAAGAACAACATACAGATACATACAGATATGCAGATTCTATGTAACTACTAGGGTGTGCGTTTCATGCAGAAATGTTTATTATTGATTTATTTAGAACTTTTGTATCCCGTTCTTCTCTACCTCCGTGGAGGGACTCAGAACGGCTAACAGCAAAAAAAAAAATCAATGCACAATAAGTTGTTGTTGTTCATTCGTTCAGTCGTCTCCGACTCTTCGTGACCTCATGGACCAGCCCACGCCAGAGCTCCCTGTTGGCTGTCACCACCTCCAGCTCCTTCAAGGTCATTCCAGTCGCTTCAAGGATGCCATCCCTCCATCTTGTCCTTGGTCGGCCCCTCTTCCTTTTTCCTTCCACTTTCCCCAGCATCATTGTCTTCTCTAAGCTTTGCCGTCTCCTCATGATGTGGCCAAAGGACTTCCACTTTCCCTCTGGTCTCCTTCCCTCCAATGAGCAGCCAGGCTTTCTTTCCTGGAGGATGGACTGGTTGGATCTTCTCGCAGTCCAAGGCACTCTCAGAACTTTCCTCCAACACCACAGTTCAAAAGCATCTCTCTTCCTTCGCTCCGCCTTCCTGAAGGTCCAGCTCTCACATCCGTAGATGTGACTGCAGGGAAGACCATGGCTTTGACTATGCAATGGATCTTTGTTGCCAGTGTGATGTCTCCACTCTTTACTATTTTATCGAGATTGGACATTGCTCTCCTCCCAAGAACGAAGCGTCTTCTGATTTCCTGGCCACAGTCTGTGTCCGCACTCATCTTTGCACCTAGAAATACAAAGTCTGTCACGGCCTCCACATTTTCTCCCTCTATTTCCAGTTGTCAATCATTCTTGTTGCCATCATCTTGGTTTTTTTGATGTTGAGCTGCAACCCAGCTTTTGCGCTTTCTTCTTTCTCCTTGATTAGAAGGCTCCTCAGCTCCTCCTCGCTTTCGGCCAATAAGTAACATCATAAAAACAACACACAATAAATAAGTTCTAAAATACATATAAAACAATTCATCAAGTTAAAACATCATCCAACTCGATCCAAATGTTTGTTGTCCATTAGTTCTTAGTCTATACAGGATCATCCATCAATCTGCAAATGCCTGATTCCAAAACCAGGATTTTAGCTGCTTCCTGAATGACAGGAGGGAGGGGGCAGCCCTAATCTCTTTGGGGAGAGAGTTCCATAGCCGGGGGGCCACCACAGAGAAGTCCCTGTCTCTCCTCCCCACTAAATGCGACTGCGAAGGTGGTGGGACTGAGAGCAGGGCCTCTCCGGAAGATCTTAAAGTCTTTGATGGTTTATAGGAGGAGATATGTTCGGACAGGTAAACTAGGCCAGAACCATTTAGGGTTTTGTAAGTTAAAACCAGCACTTTGAATTGTGCTGGGAAGCTCATTGGCTGCCATTGGAGCTGGTGTAGCAAGGGAGTTGTGTGCTCCCATGAGCAACCTGGCTGCCTGTCATGTATCATGTTCTGCAGTTGTTGGTTGTTGGTTGTGATAGGTCTAGCAGTTGGTGATGAAAGGGTTAATGCAAGTCTAAAGAGTTGAGTAATCTGTAAGTAAGAGTTCATGGGTGAAAGCAATTAAGAGTGCAGGTATACAAGAGATGGGTTGCAGTTGGGTGTTTCTGGATATAAGGAGCGAGCCTTGGAACTGATCTTTGGGGGGAAAATATTCTGTCACGTTGCCAGGGCTCTGCCTTATTCAGGTAGAGATGAACCAAACTCCCAGTTTGTGTTAAAGAATTTAATTAAAGCAGCACTTACTTTCTGGGTGTTTTAATAATCCAAAACATAAAACACAAAGATAGCACTCAGCCACAGAATATAAAACAAAAACAGCAAACACTGTTGCAAGTTCAAGATAAGACCGTAGTCAAAAGGTCCAGTCCAGCGGTCAAACGCCGAGAGTACAATGAGTAAAGTCCAGGGAATAAGAGTCTATACCGTAGTCAAAAGCCAGTCCAAAGATTCAAGATTCCAGGATCCCAAAGGTTCAGGAGACAGGTCAGGACACCGAAAATCCACAAACCTGGGGGAAAACCAACAGCATCTACCACCAAGATAAGGCAAATACTTTTCTCCCAAAAATCGGTTCCAAGTGGTAAATGTGTTCTATCCATCTATATACTCATATGGTTGTCTGCCTGTTTGTCTATCTATCCATCCTTACTTACTTACTTACTTAGGCGATCCCTCGTTGGACGAGTACGATGGTCTTCCATGATGAGTATTCTTGTGGATTCGTAGGTTGCTATGGAGCCCTATTCTTGCTCTGCATCTTCTCCCACAGTGAAGGCATTGGTTTCCAGGTGGAAGGCGGTCCCGGTCGGGGTTGGCTTGATGCGCCTTCCTCCTGGCACGTTTCTCTCTTTCACCCTCCACTCGTGCCTTCTCGAATTCTGCAGCACTGCTGGTCACAGCTGACCTCCAGCTGGAGCGCTCAAGGGCCAGGGCTTCCCAGTTCGTAGTGTCTATGCCAGAGATTTTAAAG